TCTCGGGACCCAGATAACATAGCTGAATTCTCCAGAACCGCCCCTTGGGCGGCCCATGTTGGCGGCTTCACTCACCAGACAGAACTGAGCTACCAAGGCAGCCCCAGAACACAGGGGTCTCCAAACCCCAGCTCCTCTGGGGTATACTGCTGTGTGACATTGAGCAAGTCACTCAACCTCTCTGGGCTTAGTTGCACAAAGGCTGCACATGGGCTCTACCACCATCATTCAAACTCTGTAATTGCATCCCAGTCCCCAGGCCACCCCGCTGAGCTGTCTTCTTGGAAACTCGAGATACTCCGAGCAAGCCCTTGGCTTGTGCAGCCATGGTGGCCTGGGAGGCCCACAGCTGAGTGACATGGCTGGCCTGACTAGGCAGGGGGCTCCCTATGTGGATGGGAGGATGGGAGGTGCCAGAAGACGAGGAAGTCAGGAGTCCGTAGGGCCTAGCTGGCTCTGACCACCTCGCTGCCCTCCACATACTGTGGACCCAAATGCCAGCTGGCTTCCGACAAGGGCCAACCTCGCCCGAGATTCAGGAGGAAGTGCTCTTACCCCTACAAAAAAGGGCTCACTCAAGTCCTGTGGGATAGAATATGGGGCCTCTGCAGACCCCACAGAGGTAAACTGAGGCCCCAGGACCTGGGAAGGGGTGGTCACCTTGCAGTGTGTGCACTTATGTGCCCAGTGGTGGCGCTGGCCTGGGGACTTCAGCTCTGCCTGCTTGGGCCTCCTGCCCTGAGGCAGCTCCAGGAACCAAGAGGGCCAGGGATGCCCCCTGCCTGTCACTGCACCTCAGGAGCCCAGTGGCCAGGCGGGGTGGGGCGTGCTGGCTCTGCTTGTCCAGGGTCAGCTGCTTGCAGGGCCTGGGGGCCGTCCCCGTGGATACTGCGGGGAGTCGGGGCTCAGGGAACCTGGGGAGGCTGAGCAGAGTCTGTGGCCAGGCCAAGTCGGGGCTCTGAGGGAACTGTGGACAAGCAGACTGGGGGTCCCCGCCTGGGCACACAGTGCCCAACCGCCACTCACCACGCTTGAATCCCCAGCGCTTCAGCCACAGCTTGGAGAGGGCCGGCCAGGAGTGGTTAAGCGCTGAGGCGGCCATGGGGCCTCGTGTCGGAGGGTGATGCACCCGGAGAGGGAGCTGGCCTGTAGGGAAGCCCTGCCAGGACCCGCTGCCAGCAAGAGAGGCGGGGACTGCGGCTCGAGGCTGCCAGATGCATCAGCTGATGGAGCCTGGGCTGCAGGAGGAGGACTGGAGTTCCAGCCGGGGGTCTGGGGGCTCCATGCCTGGAGGAGCCCAAACCTTAGCTGCCCCAGCCCCCTACCCATCCTGGGGTCCTGTCACAAATGCAGCATGGGTGGGCATGAGTGTGTGTGTGTGTGTGTGTGTATTTGCACCACTGTCTGTACATTTGACAATGCATTTGTGTACCAGCACATAAAGTGCATATTTTCAGGTTTGTATGTGTGTTACTAAGTCTTGAGCCACTGGGTATGGTGGTACATGCCTGTAATCCCAGCACTCAGGAGGCTGAGGCAGGAGGATTACCACAAATTGGAAACCAGTGTAGGTTACAGTGTGTTCAAGGCCAGCCTAGATCATATCATGAGTCTCTCTGTCTTTCTGTCTCTGCCTCTCTCTCTCTCTCTCTCTGTCACACACACACACACACACACACACACACACACACACACGCGCGCGCGCGCGCACACACACATGCGCGCGTGCATGCAAGCCTTAAATGTCAGTTTGTCTAGGTGGGATGTATTTGAATATCTAGATTTTTAAAATTTTGCATTGCTGGAGGTGGAACCCAAAGCCTTGTGAAAGTAGGCAGGGGCTCCATCGCTGAGCTACACCACCCCTTTTTGTTTTTATTTTGAGACAATCTCATTATGTTGCCCAGGCTGATCTTGAACTTGTGATCCTCTGACCTCAGCCTCCCAGGTACCCGGGATTGTAGGCGGTTTTGGAAGTGTCTGTAATGCTGTGGGTGATCAGGCGGTATCTGGAAGTTGGGGGTACCTGAGTCTATGCGGTAGGGGCATCTTGTATTTACGAAGAGGTTTTGGGGTCTGCCCGGGTCCCCGCGTCTTTCTGGGCACCATGCATACATAGTGCGCGCGCATGTGCGCCCCTGAGACCCAGCGCTCCCGCAGGCACGTGCTGCCCCCTGCTGGTGGGACCCTGCACCTGTTCCTCCGCGCGGCCTCCCCTGCCTCGACCTCTCTCATCACCCCAAGATCCTGGCTTCGCTTCCCCTACCTTAAAGCTCTCAGAACTCTCACACGCGCCCCGGAGAGGCATCAGCGCTTCACAACGCTGCGCACTAGCTCGAGAGCTCGCCTAATACTGCACCCGAAATGGACACCGGTCCATTTTTGCCCCATCCGAGGGAAAGAAAAATCGGACCCCGAGTTGTTAGCAGCTGGGAACCGTCTGTGAGTTTCCCCTGCGTTCCCATCTCTCAGGTCGAAACCCGAGTCCTTGCTCTGACTCCCCGAGGCCTGGCGCACACACCTACCCCACTCTGCGCCAGCCCTGGCCGCGCCCTCCAGCCGCTGACCTGGCCCGGGCGCCAGGCCCCCAAAGCCTCAGTCCGTCCCTGGCTCTCGAGTCTCTGCCAGGACCTGAGTTTCCTCCCACAGGGACGCACGGCGGCGCCCGGCCTTCCAGGGCTGCCGTCCCTGCTGGGCGACGGGGTCCCGCAGAGGCCGGGACACAGAGGGCGCTCCTGGCCCTGGGAATGTGACCGAGAGCCGGGCGCCTCGGGATCCCAGACACCCCCAAACCTGTAGACCATGTATCCCACACTCTCACACCCCATGAAGGGGCTCCGTGTGTAAATCAGGTGCCCCGGGAGCGACAGTGACGTCCTCCCCCAGGGCAGCGATCACAGGAGGCCAGCAGGGCGCAGGGAACCTCTGAACCGCGTCTGCAGTGCGCGGAGCTCCGGGCCTCTGTGGACTTCAGGCCAAAGAAACCCTGCGAAGTGACACCTTGGTTATCGCCGTGCGTGGACTGGTGCGCAGTCGGCAATCACCGCGCGCTCTGCTTGGGCACAGAGTTCCTGAGCCGCGCGCAGGCACTGGCGGGGGGCGGGGGGGGGGTGTCAGGAAGGAAGTGTGAGGTGTCAGCGTGGAGCTCGCAGGAAAAGGTGAGTTCAGCTGTGTTGTTTTTGTTTTTGTTTTTTTGGAGCTGCTGCTGTTGCCAGGCACCTGAAGGGCTCACATGTGTGACCTTGTGGTGACCCCTGCAGAGGATACACGGGGAGGGAGGCCAGGCCACTGTCCTCGGCCGTGCAGGGGCAGGGAGCTTGCATTCGAACCCGCGCCTGTCCAGCAACAGCAGGAGGGAGAGCGTGCACACAGGCAAGGACTGAGGTAGGGTGGGAACAGGTGGGGAAAAGGAGGCGGAAATCCGTCATTGTAAGATTGTGTGTGTGTGTTGTAAATTACATCTTCAGTACACAAATCTACTCAAGGTTACAGTGCCTTTTTCCTTAAATTCCCTAAAAAGATGTGAAGGGTCTTGCATATTGGCGTGCGCCTTTTTATCTGCAAATTGTTCTCAGGCCTGCAGACCCCGTCCTGAGCACCTACCACAAACCGCAGAAATCTAAGCCTCAGGTGCACACCAATGGTTTCACCCCAACAAAGCCTAGCACTTGGGGAGCCCGACAGACACCAGGAATACACACCGCACAGCGCCTATCTTAAGGACACCCCAAGACCACATAACCTACCCCCCAAAAAAGCTGGATGTGGTTTTGCACGCCTGTCATCCCAGCACCCTGGGAGGCTGAGGCAGGAGGATTACAAATTCAAGCCCAGCCCAGGCAATTTAGCGACTTAGAGTAACCCTGTCTTGAAAAATAAACTAGACAGGGTTGAGGATGGAGCTCAGCCCCCAGCACCCACACAAACAAGCCAATCAACAAACAATCAAACAGTCCCTCAACCCCAGATTCCCAGGGTTCTCTCAGGGGCCCATCGTCCAGTGCTCCATTGTGGCCTTGTGGTTCTGCATGAGGAACCCTGCAAGTCTTGTGTTGACAGAAGCCATCAAACCGACCACCTCCTGAGGGGCGGGGTGTCCTGGCTGACCACCTCGGTACCCTGCAGTGGCTGGACTAGGCCAGGCATAACGGGGCACTCACTTTGGACAATGCCTGGGCCTTCAAGGCTGTGTGGACACAGCGCCTCCTCTAGGAAGCCACTCCCCAAGGTGCCAGGCCCAGTGAAGGGACTCAGAGGAGGCAGATGGCTGGGATACCTTCCCTCGACCATCCATGGATGCTGAGCCTCAGCCTGGGCCACCCGTGCACTGAGAGTGGCATTCAAGCTTATTTGCAGGCTGATGCTCCTGTTCCATCCTTCCTGTCCCCTGCCTGGGCCCCAGCATGTGTGGCTTCCTAGCCCTTAAAGGCAGCAGTAAGCATGCAGCACTAGGGGCCTGGAGGAAGCTGAGCCCGGGTGTGCCTGGCACCAACCGCAGGCTGCCTCCCTCCTTCCCTCGCCCCACCCATCCTCTGGGGGAGGCTCCCCAAGGTGACCCTCCCCAGTGGAGCCCCCAGCTGGGTGGTTAGCAGGGCAGAGGCGGGCTCCTCAGGTGACCTCACAGGGTGGGTCACCAGCAACAGCCTTAAAGGTTGGATTTGTTTTGCAAGCTGGGTCCACCAGCTCCACCCTCATGGGTCCTGTTTTGGGGAGACCTATAGGGGAGGAGCCCTGGAGTCATCTGGAGGTGGCCACCGTGGCTCGGTTCATGCCTGGTCCTCGGTCCCTGGTCCCCATGGGTGCAGAGGGCCCCACTCTCTGCCCTTGCCTGGGGCTCCTAAGGCCCTGGCACCTGAGGTGGTCTTGGTGGAACAGAGTTGAGGCCACCCAGCCCCCCACTTCCTGGGGAGCAGGCTGCCTGCTGTGAGTCCCTCCATCCGTGGTCCCTGCTTCTGCTCCTGTCCCTAGGTGCCCGCTCCCACTCCCGGGTAGGGACTCACCGCAGGGCGCCTGCTCCAACATGGCGCCGGTGTCCATTCCGGCCGCCTGCTCCTGTGGTCCCCACGACCCTCGGCTGGGGCTCTCGGGAGCCCCAAGGCAGCATCTGAGCGACAGCCAGGTGTGACCACAGCATGACCCAGCACTGCCCCGCTTCCTCTTCTTCAGCTGCCTCCTCCGAGCAGGCCATGGGCACACGCCAGGGTCCAGGGAGGCCGCGCAGGAATGTTGAGCACAGGATGGGGACCCCGGTCCGGCCACAAGGCCGTGAGCGTCTGCGTCCCCAGGGGCAAGAATGGGGTGCGAAAGGGGAAGCTCAGCATCCTCAACCCCACCCCAACAGCTTCCTGCGGAACCAACCGCCCAGAACTGCCGGGGAACAGGGCCGCAACAGTGTCCGCACAACCAGACATGCAGGGACCCGGGTGCCAGTCCGCGGGGCGTGCTGGGAAACAGGCATACCACAGGAGTATGCACACTCTGGATACAGGGGTGGGCCCACAGCAAGACGCGTGGAGCCCCGCAGAGCCACACGCATGCGCGGGATCGCATGCATGTTCCAAGAGGCCAGAGAGGACTCGGGGACAGGGACAGATCCGGCCTGGGGAGCCAGGGTGCACACGGCCAATAGCACAGCTGGTCACACACCCAAAGATCTTGGCGTACAATACGCACTCAGGCACACTCAGGTCGGACACAGCCATCTGTGACATGGTGGGGGAGGCTAGTACCCATTCTTGAGAGAGGACCCTTCTATCTTGGGTAATTCTGCAAGGCGATTGCTACATGTAGCAGCCTTACATTTTTAACTATCTGAATATATGACGAAAGAAGCCACCTTACAAACACTGCAGAAATCCTAGTTCTCTACGGAATCCAAAAAAGTTCATCTCAGCCAGGCTCTGAGGCCCAGGCCTGCAATCCCAGGTGCTCAGGAGGCTGAGGCAGGAAGATCACAAAATTCCAGCCCAGTGCAGGCAATTTAGTGACTTAGACTATCTTGAAATAGAAAAATAAGGAGGGCTGGGAATATAGCTTAGTACAAAGGCCCGGGTTCAGTCCCCAGTGCCACACACACACACACTCTCTCTCACACACATTACAATGATAATTTTTACACTGCAGACCACGACAGTAGGAACCACTTCCTGATGGTTTGTGGGCACCTTCTTGTCATCCAAGACAAGAGGTGGAGCTGCCTTTCTCTGAGGTGGAGCTGCTTCCAGGTGGCAGAAACTCCGGCATCTTGGTCCCCAGCTATGTGGGGCCAGCTGCAGCGACTGCTGGGCCTGACAGGGGCAGGCACAGGCATTCCCACCGTGTGACCCACACGGGTCCCTGGTGCACCTCCACCTGATCGGGGAGGGTTTGGAGCGTGCACAGCATCACGGGAAGGCAGGCACCAGGCTCTCAGAGCTGTACGGGCCACACACGAGCAGGGCACGCGGCTGCTCGGGACGCACACACGCACACACATGCACACGCACGCACACTGAATGCTGTGGATACACACAGGGCTGCACCATCACAGCCATCTGAGGCTCAAATACTCAGTCTACGCGCTTGGAGCCTGGGTGCCTCCCACATCCCCCGCGACGCGGACCCGCACACCTGTCACGCGGCGACTCCCTCAGTCCAAACCCGTCGGGTCCAGAAGCTCCTTCCTTCACTCACCGACCCAGGCCTTCAGACTCGTCCCCAGGCACGCGTGAGGGGCCATGCACCCGCACCCTCGGGGCACACGCACGGGGCTGCGCGCGCGACTCCCTCCCGTGCCAGGCCGGGCAGGGCCTCAGGGATCGCCCACTGCCAGCCGGGACACAGGCGGTTGCCGCCATCTGCCGTCCTGCATGGCCCCGCAGGGGTGGGCGGGCAGGAAGCAGCCCGGGGGTGACTTGGGGTGATGCAAAATCGCTGTGACAGGAAGTAGACGGTGCAGAGTATCACTGGCTGGGGCGGGGGAGGCGTCTGGGGAGCTCACTGAGCGCGCAGAATCTGTGCCACGCAAGCCAGAGGCCGGGCGGGCACACAGCAGTGGGTGCAGGGCCCAGGTTCAGGGTGCTGTGGAGCCAGGCCCGTCTGAGGGTGCACTGCTGGCTTCTTGGCCTGGTTCCCGCCCTCTGTGCCCCCAGCTTCTGACCCACCACCTCCTCCTCACTTGATGAATGCAGGTGAAGTAAGGTTTACTATCTCACACCTGTCATTCCAGCCCTATGGGAAGCCGACGCAGGAAGATCGCAAGTTCAAATCTAGCTTTCTGGGCAGTTTAGTAACTTAGCAAGCCTCTGTCTTGAAATTAAAACAAAACTGAACAGGGCCCAATGAGAAGGCCCTGGGTTCACTCCTCAGTATAGGGGAATTTAAAAAAAAAAATCATCTTAGCCATGTCTAAATGCATAGTTCAGGGACCTTAAACAGATTCACATGGCCGTGCAGCCATCCACACCACGCATCTGCAGAACGTTTTCCTCTCCCTGAACTTCACCTTGCCCCCTGCAAAACAGGAAGTCCTCAGCCCCTGGCATCCGCCCTACTTCCTGTCTCGGGGCCAAGGGCTCCCGGGAGACCCTGGGGGTGGAATCACGCTGTGTGCACCTTTTGAGCTTGGCTGCTTTTACCCAGCGTTGTCCATAAGGCACATCTGCACTGTAGCAGGCGTCAGGACTTCCTTTTTAATCACCGAATAATATTCCATTGTGGGTAGACCTCGTTTTACTGATCCATTCCTCTTTCGATAGACAGTGGGGTTGTTTCTACTTTAGTCTGTTGTGCAGCATGCTGCTAATAACATGGTGTACAAGTGTCTGAGTCCCAGTCCCCAGCTTTTGGCGAGTTTCAAACCAAAGCCTTCCTGATTTTAAAGATTTGAAGTGTGTTTTCTTTCCCTTGAAGGTGCTATCACTCGTGGGGCCACTAGAGGGGAGCACATTCCCATGGCTTCTCCCAAGCAGTTCTAACCCTGCAGAGAAAACCAGAAGTGTCCGGGAGCCACACAGGCAGTGGGTGGGGGCCTGAGCCAGGGAAGTAGGGGTTCGAGACCCACCCTTTCTCCTCCCGCTTTTGACAGAGGTGTGGTGGAGTGAAGTATTTTGTGATGGAAGGGGAAACCCAAGAATTTTCAGATGGGCTAGACATAAAATAGGAAGCATAAAGCCTCCCACATCTTAGAATTTCAAGGCTGCTTTTACAACTTGGAGGTGAAATAGGTATATATACTCAACGCAGGCAATGGTGTGGCCAACAAATACGGTGGATGTTTAAATGAAACAAATGCCCATCATACACACGCACTGTTAATGATTCCCCTCACAGTGCCGCTTTGAGTGTCTACGTGGGGTGTATCAAAAATACCGTGACCTAGCTCCCGAGTGCCACCTGGTGGACAGGCAGCCCGGGCGCTGCGTTCAAATGCACTTCAGTCACCGGGTGGCTTTTGATTCCTCCCCAGAGTCAACAGTGTTAGTTAATGTTTTGAGTCCATTCAGGACCTCAGGGCAGCCGGGAGGGCGCAGCCAAGGACCCTCAGGGGAGAGGGTTAGGGTTAGAGCTGCTGCAGGAAGGGCGGGACCGCGGGCTGAGCGCCTTTGAAGTGGGGGAGGATTTTGAAAGGGAATCTTAGGGGCTGGGGATTTAGCTCAGCTGCATAAGTCCCTGCCTTTGTAAGCAGGCAGTCGTGAGTTTGGTCCCTGGTACTGATAAAAACGAAAAAGACAAAAAAAAAAAAAAAAAAAAAAAAGGAATCATAGGGACGCGACCTTCACTGCAATAAGTATTTTGGCAATTTAAACACTGTAGAAAAGGCAAACCGTGATGGGGGCAGAGGAAAGGAAGAAAGGGGAAAAGAAAAAATACGTATTATACCCAAGGTAGGTAAGATACTTATACAGCTAGTTTGTCTCAGTTCATTGAAAGGAAAGGTTTGGGAGTAAATAAGATCCAAAATCTATAATAGATACTGAGAAAGGGAACGAAACTGCTCAAAAAGAAAGAAATTAACTGGGATGGGGAAAAGGAGGAAAGAAGGAAGGGGAAAGAAAAAATATATACGCAAGACAGCTAAGATAGTTAGACTACTAATTTCTTTTAGTCCTTTGAAGAGAACGGTTTGTGCTTATATTGTCTGATCAGTTCTGCATGCCTGTATCTTGCAATCTGAGCAACTATTCTGCATATAACAATATGCAGAATATTAATCATTGTTAATTTCCTATTATGTTATGAAATTTTCTATTGTTTTTATTGGCTTCTTGTCTTTAAAAAAGATTTGTGCTAACATTGGACAGATATGCTGTCTTGTAGTCTGAATACTGCAAACACAGTATGCAATGTATGAATTGTACCTGCTACTAACTTGCTTTGAAACTCTGTTTTATTGTTATTGTTATTTTTAACATAGTTTCTCTTTAAAATAAAATACAAATCTTGAGGCTTCCCTCATTTTTTTTAAGTTCAGGTATGGTTTTTACACTTTAAAATTCAACTTATTTTAGTGTGAACTCCTCTGAGCCTTTAGTCTCATAACCACCGCAAAAATAATTTTACACTTTAAAATTCAACTTATTTTAGTGTGAACTCCTCTGAGCCCTGGTTAATTTAGTCTCATAACCACCGCAAAAATAATTTTTTTATTTTAAAGAAATTAAGACAAAACAGGGCATAATAAAGCAGATCAGAACAGAACAATGTAAGCAACACAGAATTTCACTAGAAGACAACCCGTAATTAACAGTAACTACCATGATGTCTCTTTCTTTGAAATAGTTGAGTATGACTTCATATAGAATAGTATCAGACATAACAATACAGTCTAAAAACATTCAAGAGAATGAGAGTATCACAGGGCATTCAGAACCAAATAACAGAAAGCAAACAGTGTTTACTATATTATCTCATTTTCCATAGGAAATTTGTTTATACTTTGACACCTAATACAATCCAATAAGGTAGAACATGATAGAGCCAAAGGAAACAGAAGACCAAGAGCATAGTAGGACTTCAGAGTAAGATGATATTATACCAGCACTGGCTATTGTAATGACTTGTTTCCCTTAAATTAGCTGTTCATACCATCACAGATAATAAAATCAAACAAACAAGAACCCATTTCAACCAACCAATGTGATCGTTATAAGTTTTCAAAACAATGTAATGGGGAATCATGATGATCATAAACTCTTATGTGCTCTTACCATTTCTTACACTAGGGAGACTATATGGTATTTATACATGTGAGTTTGATTTATTTCCCTTATGAGTATGGGCTCAAGTTGCGACCATTTATTAGTAAATA